ATCTATCATCTATCTATCATCTATTCTCGATCTATCATCTGTCTATCTATTATAATCGATCTATCATCTATCTATCATCTATTCTCGATCTATCATCTGTCTGTCTGTCTCCATCCATCCATCTGTCTATTCATCCATCCATCATCCATCCATCCATCCATCCATCCATCCATCCATCCAACCAACCAACCAACCAACCAACCTAACTTTGGGAATGGAAGTGGCTCAGGGGCTTTGCAGACGGATTTTTGGTGAAGTGGTAGGTGAGGAAAAAAAAACATTGCAGGGTGGAGCAAGGAAAAGCTAGAACAATCAGATAAGAGAGGACATTGCCCGGAGCTGTACAAGGGGTGGAGAAAGAAACCTTCCCTGGTTTCTTAGCGTGTTAAAAAAACAGGAAGGAGGTTCGTCCTTTTAGCCTGGCAAGATTCTATTAATGTAGCCGTGCCATAAAATGGAATTAGCGCACCTGATTGTGTTTTCTGCCTACCTGGGAAGGCTGACAGTTGCAAGAGCCGGAGGGCCTCGTTCCAATGGGACTGCATCATGGCCTTGAACTGGCTGACCATCTCAGCCCGCCGAGCCTCCAGGCACCAGTACCTGGCCTTGCACTCCCACAGGTCTTCCCTCTGCTTGGAAAGCCCATGCTCCTAGTCCTCAAGGAGATGCTTCTGCTGAGCCTTCTTCTCACTCAGATCCAATTTGAACGGAGCTGTTTTGCCAACTCTTTCTCCGGGTGGCTGCTTAGCTCCAGCAATTGTGTCCTGTTGGGGCCCTACGGAGCCCAGGCGGGCAGGCAAGGAGGGGCTGGGAGGGGAGGGGCAAGTAGAGGATGATGAGACGCCCCTCAACATGAGTGACATTGAATCGGCCACACCCACCTAGTCACATGACCACCTAGCCACGCCCACCCAGCCGGTCATTAGGCAGATCGTATTAGCAGTCCGCGGGATTTAAAATTACGAATTTAGTGGTCCCTGAGGACCGAAAGGTTGGGGACCCCCCGATTTAGAGGTCATGTTCAGCCCGAAGATGGCTTCCCTCCTGAAACCAAAGATTACACAACAGTTGCCTGGCAAGAGCTGGGTATAAATCCCTGACTGAGAGATCCGGCCAGCCTTCACAACTGATTACTTTAATTTCACAGGGCTGTTTTTATTTTCCCTTTTCAGTTCCTGGCACGTGGATGAGATGATGGGACTCGGCTGAAAATCCTGCCAAGGTTCTCTCCTTCATTTTTGAAGCACAAGAAGAAGCGTGGTTGATCTGCAGAAATTCAGAATGGTGATCAGGGGTGCCTGCTGACCCGTCACATCTGTGGATCACACCTGTGGGTTCTTCGAAGCCTCACACCGAAAGGGGGAACCCCTCCCCAGAAGACCCCCCCCCTTTGCGCTGAGCGGTGTTGGGGAAATTGGTCTTTCCGAGGTGAGTTTTGCTTGCGTTTTTATTTTCTTTGTTTATATCCTGCCTTCATTGTTTCTGCGAATGAGTCGAGGTGGCAAAACGATGCCAACGCACCTCCCTCCTCCTGTTTCCCCCCCACAACAACCCTGTGATGAGAGAGTTGGGCTGAGAGAGACTGGCCCAAAAGTCACGCAGAAGGTTTTAATGTCTCAAGCGGGACTAGAATTCACCGTCTCCTGGTGACTGGCCCAAAGTCACCCAGATGGTTTAATGTCTAAACTAGAACTCCCAGTCTCCTGGTGATTGGCCCGCAGTATCTGGATGACTCTAATGCCTTAAGGCCGGACTAGAACTCCCAGCCTCCTGGTGATTGGGCTAAGAGGTCACCCAGTCCACTTTCATACCTAAGATGGGACTAGAATTCACCATCTCCTGGTAATTCACCCCAAATCCCCAACCTGGCTTTTATGCCTAAGGCAGGACTAGAACTTACTGTCTCCTGCTGATTGGCCCAAAGTCACCCGGATGGTTTTAATGTCTAAACTAGAACTCCCAGTCTCCTGGTGGTTGGCCTAAGAAGTCACCCAGTCTGCTTTCATGCCTAAGATGGGACTAGAACTCACCATCTCCTGGTGATTGGCTCCAAGTAACTCGGATGGTTTTAATATCTAAACTAGAACTCACAGTCTCCTGGTGGTTGGCCTAAGATGTCACCCAGTCTGCTTTTATGCCTAAGGCAGGACTAGAATTCACCATCTCCTGCTGATTGGCCCAAAGTCACTCGGATGGTTTTAATGTCTAAACTAGAACTCCCAGTCTCCTGGTGGTTGGCCTAAGAAGTCACCCAGTCTGCTTTCATGCCTAAGGCGGGACTAGAATTCACCACCTCCTGGTGATTTGCCCAAAATTACCCATCTGGCTTTCATGCCTAAGATGGGGACTAGAACTCCCTTTCTCCTGGTTTCTAGCTTGGAGCCTTTAACCGCTAAACTCAAACGTGGCGGGATCCAATTAGGACAGCTATAGCTCACTCGATTAGCTTCTGATGGTCCGCCTTGACCCTTGAATCCTCAGTTTCTTCTCTTCCCCCTTTCTAGTGTTGGGCAAGATGGCTGCCACCAAAGTGCCCATCTATCTGAAGCGCGGGAGCCGCCGAGGCAAAAAGGAGAAACTGCGCGACATTCTGTCTTCCGAGATGATCAGCCCTCCCCTGGGAGATTTCCGGCACACGATCCACATCGGGAGTCAGGGAGAGAACGACATGTTCGGGGACATCTCTTTCCTTCAAGGCAAGTTCCATCTCCTGCCCAGAGCGGAGAAGGTGGACGCCGACGGGAACGGACACTACATGGTGCCCTTCGAGTTCTCGCGGACTTCAACGCTCTCGGGATACGAGCCGCTGTCGTTGGACATCCCTTCGCCGCTGCTCAAGAACGCCATTTCTCTGCCGATCATCGGCGGCCTGCAGGCGCTGACCTTACCTTCTGCCCAAGCCCCGCCCAAGCCTCCCCGCCTCCACTTGGATGAGAAGGACCATGCTGCTCCGCCGACGGAAGCCCACGCTCAACATCTGGCCAACAACGGTTGGGCTTCCGAAGCCCCGGAGGCCTCCAAGCCCCCTGCCCCTCTGAACGGCTTTGCCGAGGGGCAGAAAAGAGACGAACCCTTATTAACCCATGCCGGATCCCTGCTCTCCCTTCACGTAGATCTGGGACCCTCCATTTTGGATGATGTTCTGGGGGTGATGGAGAAGCACCAGACTTTGGACGCGGATGTGCAGGAGATTCTGACATGAGGGCATGTCTAAGAAAGGACGCCTAAAAGCAAGGCCGTTTGTGGAAGAGGGGTGTTGTTGTTGTTGTATAGTGAGTTCTGTGAAGTGGAAGTTGAGGATTTGTGTGTACGTCTGAGGAAAGACGCAACTTAAGAAGGGTACCTTTGCTTCCAATCTCTCCATTAACTAACTTTGACGCGTTGTGCGTCGCAACTCCCGATGTTGACACCCCGGGCACAACAACCTTCTCCTAAAACAGCTTTCTTGCCCCTTCTCCAGCATAGGTGTGCTGGAGGAGGAAGAGGGGAAAGCATGGGAGATATAGCCTTCCACCATATCTGGAAACATGTTCCTTTTTCATCATCACCCAGGAGTTCGATTTAAGAATGGTACTCTTGTCCCCAGCTTTCCATGAACTATGCACCCCAACATTGTCAACGAAACTGCTTTTGTTGCCCTCTTCCAGCACAACTGCTGGCCTGCTGAAAGAGGAGGAGGAGGAGGAGGATGGGAGATGTAGTCCGTCGTTCCACCCAACCTGGAAACACGCTCCTTCTTCGTCACTGCCACGCGACCTGATCCTGCACCACAAATTCCTATAATTATGGACACATCCTTTACCTAAAGGAAGAAGGCGGATGGATGGGGGAAAAACACAAATCGTAGCAGCCGAAAGTTTTGTCGGTCGTACTTTTCTTTTTGTGCTACGGGGATGGTGGGAATTAGGTTAATGTTGGCTCAGTCGCTTACGGTTGTTAATCAGCCTTCGAAACACCCCTGCAAAAGAGCTGCGTGACGCACACACACACACACACACACACACCAAGAGGCCATCTGTGTTGCAATGCAAAGAAAAATCAGAATTGGGCTAAATTTCAGTGGTTTTGATTAAAAAAAAAAATGAAGCGTCACAGCGCTCCTTGGGGTAACAAAGGCTCGGGTTTCACAATGCACAACGCCCCCCCCCCCAAAAAAAATAATGTAGCTTGCACAATTTCTGGCTCTACATCATCTCAGAATGCCGAACAGATGCTTGCACAAATTTTCCAAGCGTCCCACGTGGCTGCCAATTCGTGATTTTATTTTATTTTTATTTTTTTTGACGGGGAAGCGATGTGATCCCTGGCGAAGCCACCGTCTTCACCGTGTGTCTGAATTAAATCTTAAATTGAGCCAAGGTGTAAAGATTTTTCAAATCTTTTGGGCTGAAATTTGGAGGGGTGATTTTTTTTAGAGCGAACTGCACACAAACACACACACAGACACACACACACGGGGTCAGGAAAACACCCCACTTCTCCAGGTACGGCTGACACTTAAAACTGTTTTTTTGGGGGGGAGGTCTTCCTGTTTTCCGTTTATTTATTTACTTTCATTTCTTTTTCCCCCCTTTCCTTCTTCCCCGAGAGCCTTGTTAACGGTTTATCCGACATCTGTCTCCGTGTCCAGGATAAACTAGAAAGATTTGTGGAGCGTGTTTTCAAGAGAGACACAAACACATCCCTCCTTCGACCAACAAAGGGACTCTTTGTCCCTTCGTGGTTGTCTTCACACTCCTTTTTATCCTGTCCATCTGTTGTTGTGAAAGCTGTTTTCGCTTGGGGAGAACGTGCGTCCCGCTTGCATAACGCTGACGGTCCTTGTGAGATGCAGAGAGGCCTGGGTTTGAGAGGTTTGAACCCCTCCGTTCTCTTGGACCAAGGAAACGGTGTCTAACCGCTCGAAAATAATTCAGCGGGGCCTCTTAAATCGGCCGGTTTATTGTGATTTAGCGTGGTGCCTAATCCAGGATTTCAAACATTGCCCGACGATGCAAATGGTTGCTCTTAAAACCCGGTAGCAAAATTCTCATAATTTAGAACTGTATCCATGTTTCAAAATTTAATTTCTTTTTTCAGGGTGGGGGGAAAGAGAAGCATTGGTGGTTTTAATGTTCCCAATTCATTCCTGGGCCCCCACTTCTGTTTTTCAGCCCCTGCTGTTTTCCCTAAGGCAGCTGGTTTATTGTTCAGCTGGGGAGCAAAAAAAAAAAAAAAAAGGATAAAAAGCAGAAAACCGTTGCGTGTTGCCAATGCCACCTCTGTAGTTTTCTCTCTTTGTTTTCGCCAAGTCGGACGCGCTCTGAACTCCCCCCCCCCCACTTTTCAAAGTTTTAAAAAGGAGCAAAAGGGGAGTTTCACAAATCTGCGCTCTCCTTTTAAGCCGGGAGCTGTTTTGTAGATCGCTTTAGCTTCTGTTAACGAGTTTGAATGAATTATGATTTGTTTAATCACGGATGAGCCGCAATTAACGGCGTGTGTCCTGTAGCATTTTGCAATTTGCAACGGCCGAGTTTTCACTACGCCGAGCCCAAATTGGCTGCGGTTGAGTGCGGTGCGCGAAGGCAACTTTTTCTTTCTATCTTGCACTCAATAATCTTGGGGCAGGGAGTTCCACCGTTCATTTCTGGCTACCCACAGAAATGTTTCTCTTGGTCTCCTGTTTTTTTTTTCCTCTCTCTCTCTCTTTCATTTGGCCTCCCCGAATGACCAAACCGGGCTGGCTGTAGTTTTGCCATATTTTGGCTCTGCGCTTTTAATTTACGCTTTCCATTTGGACAGTTGAATAAAATCCCTTAAGGAGGGTTACTACAAGGAGCAAAATCAGCTCTTCTCATTTGAATTTTTATTTTGTTTGCAATCATTTTATCCTTTGCCTGCCTGATGCTGTGAAAGTCTCCTTCCTCCGTGTGTCTCGTCTGCAAAAAATCCTTCTAAATAATCAGATAATTTGACCTGCTACAGAGCTAAGCACTAGCTTCAAGGCTCCACCGGGATGGTGAAAGGCCTCCTCACCTGCTGATTGATGAGTGCTTTATCACACCTGGTCACGCCCACCATGGCAGACATTTTGTGAGCACACCCACAGGCAGGCTTTTCAAATTTACAAGCATACTTTTCTAGTTTTTGAGTAATTTCACTCATTTTAATTTTAATTTTTTGGGAAATCCCAGGAAAATTGTCAGGGCAGCATTGATTGAAGGAAAGTGAAATGGCCCCAGCAAAGAAACAGTGTTTGCCTCAGAATCTTTCCAAGAAAGAGAAGTTGGTAAACGTCATTCCTGAATTGGTTTGCTGTAAATTCCTCTTTTATAATATTTTCATCCATTTACAAATTTGCAGGTTGCAAAACACATGGTGTGCAAAAACTGGGCACGAAAAGGAAAATAATGGTACAATTCCTGTTATCCATGAGTTCTTTAGAGAAAGTCCTTTTTTCCTTCTCTGCAGCACACACACACACAACCTTTCACGCATTCACGCAACACAACAGAAGTTTCCAACCTTGGTCCCTTTAAGACTTTTGTGGACTTCAACTCCCAGAATTCCTCTGGGAATTCTGGGAGTTGAAGTCCACAAGTCTTAAAAGTGGTGAAGGTTGGAGAGCCCTTCACTAAGCCATCATATCATACTTAAAAGCCTTGGAGACCATCTAGTCCAGTATTTCTGGAAGTTGGCAACTTTTAAGCTGCGTGGACTTCGATTCCCAGAATTCCCCAGGTGGACTTTGTCTCCCAGAGTTCCCCAGCCAGTGGAATTATGGGAGTCGAAGTCCACCCATCTGAAAATATCCAAGTTTAAGCAACACAGATCGAGTCCAACCTCTTCAAGGCACAAATGTTTGAATTTAGCATAATCTATGTGTACCCCAACCGTTGTAGGTTGAAACTCTTGGTTTATGGCATGCTTTTTTTTTTTTTCAATAAACAAAAGTTAAATTCTGGTTTAATGTGTACATATTTAAGTTTATTTAACAAAAGTTAAATTCTGGTTTAATGTGTACATATTTAAGTTTTGATTCAACTATAGGAATGGTGACTATTCTAATAGCTATGAAAAACAATAGCTATTGGTTTATAAAGCATTTTGCCACTGTTTCGTTTGCTGCTAGTTACTATGAATTATATGGTGCCGAGATGCCTTTTCCCGAATTGTTATTTTTTTTTTTAAATTTGATTTATATATCCTGCCATTCTACTCCATTAAGCTCTAACAGACATTGTAAAAAGTTAATAAAAGCATAAATTAAAACGTGTTAAAATGAGCTGTGCCAATGCTGGGTGTTTTTGTTTTGCGGTGACGATTTGAGTTGGAAGGGACCTTGGAGGTCTTCTAGTCCAACCCCCTGCCTAAGTAGGAAATCCTACATCACTTCAGACAAATGGTTATCCAACATCATCTTCAAAACATCAAGTGTTGGAGCACTCACAACCTCTGGAGGCAAGTTGTTCCACTGATTAATTGTTCTGTCCGGAAAGTTCTCCTTAGTTCTAAGTTGCTAAATAGTTTTCAGGGTGGAACTGTGAGTAATTCTGGGATGAAAGGCCCAACAGCATCGTTTCCATTCAAGTAGCCTCTCTCGTTTATTTATCTAAAGAAAAATGTTAACATACATTATGACCACTCTTAATCCTAGCTGTTTATTGAGACAAAAGTGTCCAAATTTCGATTTTGTGGCTATGAGAGGGGAATGTGGCAATAAGTTGTAAGTATGAAGAACGGTCATCGGTCACTTTCTGCGCCGTTGTAACTTTGAATGGTAAGTAAGCTGAGGACTACCTATAGATGATTTCATCTATAGTAGAAGTTTCTACAAACTTTAGAAACAACATTTTTCCCCCTAGGGATGTTTCAATGGAAGAGAGAAACCGTCTTATTCTTTCAAAGCAGCCCCTAATATTTACCGTGTTCCCCTGAAAATAAGACAGGGTCTTATTTTCTTTTGACCCCTGAAATAAGCACTTGGCCTTATTTTTGGGGAGGTCTTACTATTTTTGAGGTGCAGAAGGTGGTGAGCGTGGTCACCGCATGGCTGCTGCGGTGTTACAATATTTTCAGGGAGGGCTTATTTTAGTGCAAAAGCCCGATAGGGCTTATTATCCGGGGAGGGCATATTTTTAAGGAAACGGGGTGTTTTCCCCAAGACAGTGGCTCTTAAAAAGTTCCTTCCAAGCAAACAGAATGAATTATCAACGTGGAAACAAAAAAAAAAAGGAATTTATTTCCCTTCCCCTCCTCTTTTCTGCTCCATATGCCAAGAAAGTGTCTCGAAGCAGCTGGTCCACGAAAACATACGATATGCACAGAATTCCTAAAGGATCCCGAAGGAATGTGGATTTTAATCTAATGCATGGTCAAAAGTCAATTTCCAGAATTAAATTATGCAGACTGTTTCCTTTCTCTTTCCTTAAAACACGCAGAAATGTTTTAACTGCCTATTTCAAGGAGCGTTTTAACTGCACATTTAAAAAAGGGTAAAAAACCCCTCTCCTTTGGCCATCTCCCCTATAAATTTATTTTTAAAATGATGGGAATCTACACACAAACCCTTTTAGCGATACGTGATTTGACCATCATAGTTTTTGGAAGACACAAAAAGCCCTCGACCGATAAAGCCACACCCAAGACCAGAATTTCCCCAAAGTTGTACTGTATTGTATTGTATTGTATTGTATTGTATTGTATTGTATTGTATTGTATTGTATTGTATTTAATAGATTTATAGGCCGCCCAATCCCGGAGGACTCCGGGCAGTTTACGGAAAAGAAACCTTAAAAAATATAAAGAATTTAAAAAAAACAGAGAAAATAGATTAAAACCACATCATGCACCCACTCTGGTCGGGGCTGGACCTCAGTCATGAGGTCAGCCCCCAGGCCTGCCGGAATAGCCAGGTTTTGATAGCCCTTCGGAAGGCCATGAGAGTGGGAATGGTCCGGATCTCGGGGTAGTTTGTTCCATAGGGTCGGAGCGGCTACAGAGAAGGTCCTCCTCCAGGGAGCCGCCAGCCAACATTCTCTGGCTGACGGCACCTGAAAGAGGCCCATCCTGTGCGATCTTATCGGCCGTTGGGAGCAGTGGTGGGTTTCAAAAATTGTTCGAACCCACTCTGT